TATCCCTTCACACTTCTCTCCTGTACATAGTGCCAGCTACTATCCCCTTCACACTTCTCTCCTGTACATAGTGCCAGCTACTGTCCCCTTCACACTTCTCTCCTGTACATAGTGCCAGCTACTGTACCCTTCACACTTCTCTCCTGTACATAGTGCCAGCTACTGTACCCTTCACACTTCTCTCCTGTACATAGTGCCAGCTACTGTACCCTTCACACTTCTCTCCTGCACATAGTGCCAGCTACTGTACCCTTCACACTTCTCTCCTGCACATAGTGCCAGCTACTGTACCCTTCACACTTCTCTCCTGCACATAGTGCCAGCTCCCGTACCCTTCACACTTCTCTCCTGTACATAGTGCCAGCTACTGTACCCTTCACACTTCTCTCCTGTACATAGTGCCAGCTACTATCCCCTTCACACTTCTCTCCTGTACATAGTGCCAGCTACTATCCCCTTCACACTTCTCTCCTGTACATAGTGCCAGCTCCCGTACCCTTCACACTTCTCTCCTGCACATAGTGCCAGCTACTGTACCCTTCACACTTCTCTCCTGTACATAGTGCCAGCTACTGTCCCTTCACACTTCTCTCCTGTACATAGTGCCAGCTACTATCCCCTTCACACTTCTCTCCTGTACATAGTGCCAGCTACTATCCCCTCACACTTCTCTCCTGTACATAGTGCCAGCTACTGTACCCTTCACACTTCTCTCCTGTACATAGTGCCAGCTACTGTACCCTTCACACTTCTCTCCTGCACATAGTGCCAGCTACTGTACCCTTCACACTTCTCTCCTGCACATAGTGCCAGCTACTGTACCCTTCACACTTCTCTCCTGCACATAGTGCCAGCTCCCGTACCCTTCACACTTCTCTCCTGTACATAGTGCCAGCTACTGTACCCTTCACACTTCTCTCCTGTACATAGTGCCAGCTACTATCCCTTCACACTTCTCTCCTGTACATAGTGCCAGCTACTATCCCCTTCACACTTCTCTCCTGTACATAGTGCCAGCTACTATCCCCTTCATACTTCTCTCCTGCACATAGTGCCAGCTACTGTACCCTTCACACTTCTCTCCTGTACATAGTGCCAGCTACTATCCCCTTCACACTTCTCTCCTGTCATAGTGCCAGCTACTATGCCCCTTCATACTTCTCTCCTGCACATAGTGCCAGCTGCTGTCTCCCCTTCACACTCTCCTGCACATAGTGCCAGCTACTGTACCTTTCACACTTCTCTCCTGCACATAGTGCCAGCTCCCGTACCCTTCACACTTCTCTCCTGTACATAGTGCCAGCTACTATCCCCTTCACACTTCTCTCCTGTACATAGTGCCAGCTATCCCCTTCACACTTCTCTCCTGTACATAGTGCCAGCTACTAACTTCTCTCCTGTACATAGTGCCAGCTACTATCCCCTTCACACTTCTCTCCTGTACATAGTGCCAGCTACTGTACCCTTCACACTTCTCTCCTGTACATAGTGCCAGCTACCAGCTACTGTACCCTTCACACTTTCTCTCCTGTACATAGTGCCAGCTACTTACCCTTCACACTTCTCTCCTGTACATAGTGCCAGCTACTTTCCCCTTCATACTTCTCTCCTGTACATAGTGCCAGCTACTATACCCTTCACACTTCTCTCCTGTACATAGTGCCAGCTACTGTACCCTTCACACTTCCTTCCAGTACATAGTGCCAGCTACTACCCTTCACACTTCTCTCCTGTACATAGTGCCAGCTACTATCCCCTTCACACTTCTCTCCTGTACATAGTGCCAGCTACTATCCCCTTCACACTTCTCTCCTGTACATAGTGCCAGCTACTATCCCCTTCACACTTCTCTCCTGTACATAGTGCCAGCTACTGTACCCTTCACACTTCTCTCCTGTACATAGTGCCAGCTACTGTACCCTTCACACTTCTCTCCTGTACATAGTGCCAGCTACTGTACCCTTCACACTTCTCTCCTGTACATAGTGCCAGCTACTATCTCACACTTCTCTCTCCTGTACATAGTGCCAGCTACTAGTACCCTTCACACTTTCTCTCCTGCACATAGTGCCAGCTACTGCTTCATACTTCTCTCCTGCACATTAGTGCCAGCTACTGTACCCTTCACACTTCTCTCCTGCAAGTGCCAGCTACTGTACCCTTCACACTTCTCTCCTGCACATAGTGCAGCTACTATCCCCTTCACACTTCTCTCCTGTGCCATAGTGCCAGCTACTATCCCCTTCACACTTCTCTCCTGTACATAGTGCCAGCTCCTATCCCCTTCACACTTCTCTCCAGTACATAGTGCCAGCTACTGTCCCCTTCACACTTCTCTCCTGTACATAGTGCCAGCTACTACTTTCACACTTCTCTCCTGTACATAGTGCCAGCTACTATCCCCTTCACACTTCTCTCCTGTACATAGTGCCAGCTACTGTACCCCTTCACACTTCTCTCCTGTACATAGTGCCAGCTACTATCCCCTTCACACTTCTCTCCTGTACATAGTGCACTACTGTACCCTTCACACTTCTCTCCTGTACATAGTGCACTCCCGTACACTATCACACTTCTCACGTACACATACTGTCCTACTATCATCACAATCCTACACATACTGCCTACTTCATACTTGTCTGCACTCCTTTATTGTACATATTATCTGTCTTAACAGTTCTTTACCATTGTTAGTAATCCCCCTACCCTTACCCAATCTAGAACGGGCACATTTTTTCTTGATGTAAGAGTTGATAGAGACAGCTGCAAGGTACAGTCTGAAATGAGTCAGTCCCAGAGTAAGCAGGGTTTATGGGGACTTGCACATTTTAGTGAAACAGTAATGATTGTTTCCTGTGACATTATGGTTTAACATTTTACTGATTGTTATAACAGAAGCCTACATTTATATCTGAATTTAGAAAGCAATCTAATTAATCCTTCAATCCCTTCAGCCCAGCACACCTGAAGATTAGGCCTGTCTTCTCTACTTCTCTGAACTCCTGTCTTCAGAGCTCCTGTGTGCCAAACAGTTTCTGTTTGTCTTGAGTTTTGCATTTCCTGTAGATTACGGTCCCTCCCCAGGGTTTGTTCTTAGGTCTCCGGCGCTTCAGGCAAGAAAGAACATGAAGTCTTGCTGTTTGAAGCCACCATTTATTGTTTGCAGTAAAAGCATGGACAAAGTTTTTTCATCTATAATAATGTGTTACTGTAGTTTTCGGTTTCCCCAGATTATCAGGATATACTGGTGTTGTAACGCCTTCATTTCTTACGCTGTAGGAACATGCAAGACCTTCATTTTGATAAGCTGTTTTCAGCAAGTCCTGTAACTGCAAATGTATATCCTCCCTTTATAGGAATTTCACCTTGTAGAAATATCTAATTTACTTGTATGTTTCCCTTTTAAACTACTCACACTCTACAATCCGAATGTGCAATCTCCTTTGAGTCTTTTAATAACTGATGTAATGAAAGAGCCTGCATGATTAGGTACAAATTGAATAGATTGTTTAGTTTTGTGCTCATATCATATCTCATCAGGACAGGTTTACTTTAAAGTAAAATTCCATGTTTTTTAGACCTTTAAATAGTTTGTTTTGGCTTAGCTGGTACAAAACTAACTATTTTGATTAATTCTGCAGCCATGGTGTAATGTACTGTAGTAGCATTAGTCAGATGGAGGATTCAACACTGTTCCAGTAGCAGTATGAGCGACTCCCCATCTGCTGCCGGAACTAAAGTTGGATTGAATGCTTCTCCGCTATTCAGGAGAAGCCTTGTACTTTTATCATTGAATAGAAGGCTTCATCTGATTGGCTGGGTTGAAATTGTGACATCATCTACTCCTCTTTCCACCTTGGCCAGTCAGTGGAAGCTGTATTTTCAGTATGATGCCAAGATCAAGAACACAGGGACATGACATCAAACAAGTAGAAGGGAAGTTCAAAACTATTCTTAGAAAGTATTATTTTACTGAAAAAGGTAATCCTTGATGCTTGGAATAGACTTCTAGCAGAGGTAGTGAGTCAGGCAACATTAAGTTTATTCAAACACGCGGGCCAAACATACTGTAGATCAATACTCAGACAAAAAAAGTTCTATAAAAAACATTCACCAAAAACATATATAAAGAAAAACAATGGGGCAGACTCAGTGGACTATTTGGCCTTTTTTTTCTGTCATCATTCATCTATGTTTCTCCTGAATGGTAAAGAAGCTTTCAGCTCGACTCTGTTTAGCTCGAACTGCAAGCAGGAATTTGTCCATACTAGTTCCAGAACACAGCATCGCTTACTGTGTGTAGCAAATCTACCACCGTATATTACAATGCACACAGTGGCTGCATTATGTAGGGGAAATATGAACTATTTTAAAGTCATATTAAACTTGAAATTCTACCTTTAGGGGTACAATGGTGATTCCTTCTGCCTCATGTGGCATTTCAGATTACAGGGCCTCCTACTATTTCCATTCATGGGCTCCTTCCTCCTCTTATTCACTTTTATAGGGCAACTGCCCTTGAAATACCATCAGAATGTAGAATTGCCTCCCTTCTTGCTAAGCTAGAGAGGCCTACTCAGTCTTCAGAATTATGCCCTCCAAAGTATACAAAGTTCCATTTGTAGAGAAAGGCCCCCCTTGGCACACAGGTAAAAAAACAAATTATGTATGTGTGGAAAGATCCTCCATGCTTTACCAGATTCTCTGCTCCCCTGTCATTGATAAGAATAGCATCTCATCTGCCCTGCCAATGACTTTCTCACCCACATATCATTACGTCTCTGAAGTCATATTAACTTCTTAATGTAAGATCTCTAAAAATGACACAATGAAATGTGTTCATTAATTTCCATCTGTGTTATTAGGAGTAAGTAGTGTGCTAAAAAGTGGAGGTTGTTGAGAAATGTTTTAACCTATCCTTGTGTAAAGTGCTTTTGGGATTCAATTGGAAGTATCTGTATGTCATGAATATTGCCAACTAATGTTTTTTTTTATAACAGAATGCACTGCTGCCAGCAGGATTTCGTCAGAAAGACCAGACGGTGAAGCATGCCACAGGTCCTTTTGATAGGGAAGGTCTTTTGGAATATTTGGAAAAGGAGGCACTTGCACAGAAGGACCGGAGGACTATGTGCCATTTACAGGAGAAAAAAAAGGTAGAATAATCCCAAAAAATACATTTTAGATATGTTTGATCTCATTATCCACCTACAGAGTTTCTAAAGACAACTGACAGAATTGTGTGTCTCAGGAAAATGTGTCCAGAAAAGTTAGTTTAATAAGTTAAAGGATGAGATCACCTTTGGGGAGAAAAATAATAAATGCATGTATTTTTTGCAGAAAAAAAATTGTGCATTTATTATTTTTTTTTTCCCCAAGGAGCCTGCAAAGCATTGCAGCTGAGATCAGTGGATCACATGTGCAATGTCAGGCTCCTGCAGACAAATGCTATGCTTTCTGCCTGTACCTCAGTATGGGCCGTCAGTTTGAAAGCCGCAGAGCTTCTGAATGAACTACAAAGGCGCTCATCGATTCCTTCACAGTTCATTGAGTACTACAAGCAGTTTGCCATGGTGGAAGATGGGACTTGATTGCTGTGAATGAATGAATGACTGCACAGCCGTGACAATTTTTAAATGTGACAGCAGGTGCAAGGAGAGGAACCTGCTCACTTTCACGTGAATAAAGACACACATGCACATAGTACATGGTCTACATATGTACCGTATTTTCCGGCGTATAAGGCGACTGGGTGTATAAGACGACTAATTTTCCAGTTAAAACATAGGTTTTTCGGGGTATACTCTCCATATAAGACTACCCCCCTTCCGAGGCAACACCATTTAAAAACATCAGATTTTTTAATTGAAATGGTTATGACTTACCGGTACTTAAAATCCTCAAAATCCTCATGTTCCCTCTGACATCATAAGTTCATGAATGACATCTTGTGATACATTTGTAAGACAGTCATATGGATCAAATTCCAAATCGGATGGTTACCACCGCTGGATGTGCGGTAATACGGTAGCTTCGGCTACATACAGTATACAGTATATATACAGCCCGCTGGATGTGCGGTAATGTACATACAGTATACCGTGCTGAGCCAAGCTGGCTCAAAACAAATGTCCCTATGACAGATTAATCTGTCAGCCCACTGGATGTGTGGTATATACAGTATACTGAGTATATACCACTGTGGTATATACAGTATACTGAGCCAAGCTGTTTCAAAACGTACCGGTACGTCCCTACGGTAATCAGACCGCTGGATGCGTGTATGTACGGTAGCTGCGGCTACATACAGTATACACTGGGCCAATTGAGGCGAGCGATGTATTCTACTAATGATTGGCTGAGGTTGTGACATCATCAGCCCACCTCTCTGACTCAGCCAGTCCAAGCAGGCTTTGTATTCATTAGTAGAATACATCACTCGCCGTGATTGGCCCAGTGTATACTATATGTAGCCGCAGCTACCGTACATACATGCATCCAGCGGGCTGATTACAGTAGGGACGTACCGGTATGTTTTGAAACAGCTTGGCTCAGTATACTGTATATACCACAGTGGTATATATACTCAGTATACTGTATATACCACACATCCAGTGGGCTGACAGATTAATCTGTCATAGGGACATTTGTTGTGAGCCAGCTTGGCTCAGCATGGTGTACTGTATGTACAGTATCACCACACATCCAGCCAGCTTGACCCAAACAAACTCAGGGTTCACATTTTATACCCCGCTTATAAGACGACCCCCAAATTTTGGGGTATATTTTTAAGTATAAAAAGTAGTCTTATATGCCAGAAAATACTGTAAATCTGATTTTCTGGTATGCAGTCTGTATATTAGGGGTTGAAAGTATAGGGTGTTTCCTAGGGATTGTTGATGACAAAACACACTGTAAACCAAGTATTTAAGTGTAATAAACAGAGCAGACCTACATATCAGTAACTGATTAACTGAACTTGCATCCCAGCCTGTGACTCAGACACAAATGAAGAGATATGGTTAACAATTTGGTTACAATACCTTAAATGGAATCATTTTATTTTGCTGCGTTTATACCTGCACAGGTAGAGTTCACACATGGAGAAAAGATAAAAAGGTCACACATGACTTTCCTTTGCTGATATAATTATCAAAACACTAAATAGCGACAGCTGACTAAATAAGGTCACAAATGTTAATAAATTATTGCACACAATGAAGGAAATTTAATCAATCTGGAGCAGTTGTGCATTTTAAGCTTTAATTTTCAAAGCTTACCTGAACATGCTAAGGATAGACGCTGGTGGGTTTTTTTGTTTTTTTCACTGCGGTGATTAGTTTTATTAGAAAAAGTGTTATGTGTTGGATTTTAGAACATTACTTACTATTAGTGAGATGGGACTTAGCTGTAAAATATTTTTGTAGCTTCAGGTTTTGCATCTAGCATAGTTAGTTGATGCAGGTCCTTTTGTTACATGGCTGCTGCACCTGACAGTCAAATTTGATTTTATTGGGGTGATCAACTTTGATGGAAATGGCAGACTCAGCATGGTTACAGGATTATCCATAGATTGTTGTGACTAAACAGTGGGAACTGAAGTGGAACTATGGGCAAAATCACACATTACTTACATGAGAAGCACAGCGACTAAGTGGGGAGTGTGTGTATATGTATGTATATATGTATGTATGTGTGTTAGTTACACACACACTGGGAAAGTAATTAGTTGATCCCCTGCAGATTTTGTAAGTTTGCCCACTTAGAAAGAAATTAAGACATTTTTATCATAGGTGTATTTTAAATGATAGAGACAGAATGTCAACAAAATATCCAGAAAACACATGGATACAAATATTGTAAATTAAGTTGCAGTTCAGTGAGTAAAATAAGTATTTGATCCCCAAGCAAAACGTGACTTAGTACTTGGTGGATAAACCCTTGTTGGCAAGCACATAGGTAAGATGTTTCTTGTAGTTGGTTACCCGGTTTGCACACATCTCAGGAGGGATTTTGGTCCACTCTTCTTTACAGATCTTCTCTAAATCCTTAAGGTTTCATGGCTGTCGCTTGGCAACTTGAAGTTTCAGCTCCCTCCATAAATTTTTTTAAATTTTTTTTATAGGATTTAGGTCTGAAGACTGGCTTGGCCACTCAATGACCTTAATGTGCTTTTTGTTGAGCCACTCCTTTGTTGCCTTGGCAATATTTTTTTGGGTCATTGTCATGCTGGAATAATCGCTCCAACAGTTGTTTCCTTCTCACCAAGCCTCTTGCTGATGGTTTTGTAGCCCATTCCAGCCTTGTGTAGGTTTACAACCTTGTCCCGGACGGTTTTTGACAGCTTTTTGGTCATTTGCCCATGGTGGCAAGGTTTGAATAGAAGAAACAGATTCTGTGGACAGGTGTCTTTTTTACACATAATGAGTTGTCATTAAGAACACCTCTAATTGACATGACTAATCTGCCTACCACATGAGGACATAGCCAATCTGTGGGAGCCAGATTTATTGTTGGTTGGTAGGGGATCAAATACTTATTGTACTCACTGAACTGCGACTCAATTTATAACATTTGTATAATGCTTTTTCTGGATTTTTTAAAATATTCTCTTTGTCATTTAAAATACACCTGTGATATAAATTATAGACCTTACATTTCTTTGTAAGTGGGCAAACTAACGTATCGTCAGAGCAGGATTGGGTACGTTGAAGGGTTCTGATCATTGTATTATTTGCAAACACTGTGGACTCGGTTTTCCAGAGAGGCTTGCATTTATTGGGTCACAGCACAGAACAAAGTTACTGCTGGAAAAATTCATTTCTTGGATAGAGGAGTTTTGCACTCCAAATCAGCTAGCGAACTCTTGTATTCCATATCGGCTAGCGAACTGTTGCCTCAACAACTATAATTATCACTCCTCATCCTTGTTATATATGACAACACCTAGCAGCACTAGGGTCGTTGGTTCAAATCCCAACCACAGCTGCATGGAGCTTGCATGTTCTCCTTTTGGGTTTCCTCCGGGTCCTCTGGTTTCCTCCAGCACTCCAAAGACATGCTAGTAGGTTAATTGGCTCCTGTTTAAATTGGCACTAGTATGTGTATATATGAATGTGAGTTAGGGACCTTAGATTGTAAGCTTCTTGAGGGCAGGGACTGATGTGAATGTATAATAAATATGTAAATCAACAGCTCTATATAAGTATTTATAATAAATAATAAAATATGATGTCAGTAGCATTAACCCTGTAACATAATTTTATTACCTGTTGATCCTGCCAGTAGATCTGTTATTTTTTTCTCTTTCCTCTGTCAGGCCAAGCTGTCTAGCAGAAATTGAATTTACTGGGGTTGGAATATATAATTTATCACTGACAGGGGATTTGAATGTTGCAACGGTTAACTTGTGGGTTCAAATCTTTATCACAAAAAGAAAAATGTTGCTGTAAATGTTTAAAAAGTGGTAGCTAGAGTTAGACTTTCGTGTGCTTAACCACTTGCCATCCCACCACAGTAAATTTACCACGGCAGGGCGGAAGGTGCAGGCATGATCACATGTTTATATATACATGATCGTGCCCTGTTCTGGAAATTTGATAGATAGGCAACTCCTATCCTTGTATTGATTAGTGGTTCCAAATTAATAACTACTGCAGTAGGGAACAGGCTTGGTATACATGGATTTTGAAAAAGCGTTTGACGCAGTTCCCTACACACGGCTAATGTGTGAGGTAAAGTCTACAGCCTTGGAAAAATATGTAAATGGATAGAAAACTGGCTAAAAGATCGTATTCAGAGAGTAGTGGTTAATGATTCATACTCTGAATGGTCTAGGGTTGTCAGTGGTGTACCCCAAGGTTCAGTGTTGGGACCCTTACTTTTTAATATATTTATAAACAATATAGGGTCTGGGATTATAAATCCCATTTCAGTCTTTGCAGATGACACCAAGCTGTGCAGTGGAATAACGTCCTTACAGGATGTCTCCAACTTACAAGCCAACCTCAATGCACTGTGTAATTGGGCAACTATGTGGAAAATAAAGTTTCATGTTGATAAATGTAAGGTTATGCACTTGGGGGCTAAGAATATGCATGCATCATACATACTAGGGGGGTACAACTGGGGGAATCAATGGCGGAGAAGGATCTGG